GAAAGAAAGTCGGTCAAAAGGTCTTGGATGATGTATATGTATGCGTGTGCGTGTATATGGAAAACAACACAAAGAGAGTTGCTTGGTTCAATGGGGGTAATGAAGGTAGGAAAAACGCATGGTGTACCTGTGAATAGAGTGCTGTCTTATCTGTAGTGCCAAAACGTTCAGCTCGTTGTGCATTGGACATTATGCCGCCCACATCAGCGTTGGGAATAGGGGATTGGCTATGTTGACGGTCGTTGTATTGATTGCTGTTGGCACGTCCACCACGTCCACCACCACGTCCACCACCTCGATGCCCACGTCCTCGTCCACGATCGCCACCTGAATGGCCTTTGTTGTGGTTCACTTGATTGCGGTTCTTTGTTGCATTCTTTGTGTCGTTTTGTCGTCCACCAAAAAACATAAGGCGACAGTGTAAAAGGTAGCGGTAATGGAGAAAGAAAGAGTCGTGTTGCGAACTGAAATTCAACCCTCCTCGAATACATATCAGCTTAATATTGGCCCGACAAGTGAATCCCGTCAGTGCACATGGCTTTTTAGTTAGTCAATACATTTATTTGGGTAATATGTAATAGAGATACGAATGCGAGTAGGGAACATTATGATCAGCGTATACATTTGTAAAGACATTAAAAAACCTGCTGTTGTCTTCAAGTTTGACCCAACCATACTCGTCGGCCATGGGCGATATGTAACTGGGGGGAAGCGGGTGGAGAGTGATGAGATTCGCGTGAATGATTGAAGCCAAAAAGGTCGGTGGGAAGCTTCGTAGTAGGTGGGACTCGTGTTGTATGCCAATCGGCAAGGTAATAATGCCTCATCCTGCTGATTGATGGACTTTTCAAGCTTATTGCGACCATGATCATCAATCCTGTCGATGGACTTGCGTATCGATGTGGCAGTGTGCTCAACCTTGTGTGTCTTCTTGCTGATTGATGGACTTGTAAAGCTTGTTGCGGCCATGATCATCGATCCTGTCGATGGACTTGCGTATCAATGTTGCTGTCCGTTCAAGCTTGTAGTATATGATGTTGACAAGCATTGTCACCGGCAGCTTGAAATTGGCAAAGGCTGCAAAGTTCCTTGGGAAATTTAATTTTGCCTGATGAACGGCAACGTAGAGGTCCGGCTTTGCCAAATGAATCGATCCAAGGTGGCAGTGCACGCCGTTTGTTTGCATGTAGAAAGAAGATGCTTGAGATGCGGGGTCACGTTGCTTGATAGAATCATAAGTGAGCACCTGACGTAGATATTCATCCTCGACACCGATATGAACGGACTTGCGCGCTCGATTCATAGCCTTGAGAGCACCTTTACTGATATCCGAGAAATGCCATTCCACCATGCATGCCAATAAGAAGGGCGTGTCACCTTCACCAACAAGCTTGAATAACTCTGGATAGTTGTTTTGAGATGCTTCCACATTGGTGAACTTGTTGCGGCGCTGGGAGGTCTCCATGATTTCATTGTTGCGTTGAATCAATTCATAAAGTTGGAGTACACGCTGCAGCAGTGATGAAATAGCACATGGCGCGGTAATTGTGCGGCCGCTTCATGATCACGGATATGAGCAATCAAGTAATCTGCACGGAATTCCACTTCGTTGGGCGCCTCAATGCCATCCTCTCGTAAATCATCATAAACCTCCATCAAACCCAGTAGCACTAGATGAAAAGTGTCAAAAGATGCCTTTTGAAAGTGATGATGATCATGAATGCTTACCTTTTCGAAGCTGCTCGGTTTCTTGTTGCTCGCTGAACTTCTCATCATCATACTCGCAAAGCTCGTGTAAAATGAGGATATGTAAACGTGCAATCTTTCCATGAAGTTCGACAGCTGACGCATCACGGATGTTTTGCAAGGTGAAATCTTGTCTGATGGAGCGTGTACGGTCCCATAAGAAGCCATGGCATTTGATGAGAGGGTATTGCATAAGGATCTCATTGACCAGGTAATCAAGTGTCCGCTATAGAAATTGTCCATGTGTTGGTTATCCATATCTTTACAATGAAGCATTGATTATCCCTTACCCTTAATACATGAGGTGGTCGTACATCCGATGGTAATGGTTGTTCATTGCCTGCTGCAGATCGACGATGCTTCTTGACGGTCCTTTTTGGATCAGCTTGTTCACTCGCATCCTGTAAAGAAGGTTGATCATTAGCCTCGGCATGGATATCGAATGCATCAATAGCAACCTACCATTTCCAAAGGATCCAACCAAGTTCCACTTGTTCAAAGCGAGAGCACATGTGTTGTAGCGTGCAAGGAAATCGATGGCATCAGCGAGGCGTATTGGCTTACTGGGATCAGGTATCAGGCCGTTTTTGATTGCATTGGCTCG